CTCCTATGCAGGCGATGGTCCTGAGGCTTTGGGCATTCCTCTTCTGCTTTCCCAGGCCACAAGCAGGGAGCTGGATGGGAAGTAGAGCAGCAAGGAACACAAACCAGTGCCCATATGGGATTGCCAGTGCCAAAGGGGAGAATCAGCTTGTTGAGTTACTGCTCCAGTCAATGACAATTTTTTCTGAATGCAGGTATTTTAGATTAAAAAGTTGACTCAGGGCCCGATGCGATAGTGTAGTGGTTAAAGTCCTCACCTTGAACACGCCGGGATCCCAAACAGGCACCAGTTCTAATCCCAGCAGCCCCATTTCCCATCCAACTCCCTGCCTGTGGCCTGGGAAAGCAGTTGAGGACAGCCCAAAGCCTTGGGACCCTGCACCCATGTGGGAGACCCAGAAGAGCTCCTGGCTTCTGGCTTCGGAGAGGCTCAGCTCCAGCCATTGCAGCTGCTTGGGGAGTGAACCATCAGATGGAAGATCTTCCTCTCTGTCTCTCCTCCTCTCTATATAACTGACTTTGCAATAAAAAAATAAATAAATATACCTTTTTAAAAAGTTGGATCTGTTACTTGGGTAGGTAAACTATCTTGAACACATTCTTTGTCACTACAGTTACTGTGTGAGAGCGGGACTTCAGTCTATAGCCGTACCACCTTGAATACTCTAGCTTGTCTGGTCTTGAAGTAAGCAGGGTCAGGCCTGGGTAGGCCCTGGATGAGAGAGCAGGATTTCAAAGGTGGAAGTGCCTCTTAGCTTTGTATGGACACGAATGCTTTCGTGGGAATGTGTTTTTGGTTAGCTGCTACTTTCACTACCTCAAAAAAGTGAGATTAAGAGGATCATATAGCGCATACTTAGCCTCGATTTCACCACTTACTGGAGCTACTGGAACTGGAAAAGCAAAAGTGGTACTGCACCATGTCTGGCAAAGTTCAACTGAACTTGAGTTCCTGGCACCACATGGAAAACCTGGAGTGAGTTCCAGTCTCCTGGCTTTGGCCTGGTTCAGCCTGGCTGTTAACAGCATCTAGGGAATGAACTAGTAGATAAAGCTGGTCCCCTTCCCCATGCCCCACCCTTGAAATACATTTCAAAAAACACTTTAAACAAAGAGAATGATTCTGAGAGGATGCAGCTCATCCAATGTAGTGTATTTTTTAAGATTTATGTTTTTGGGTCCCGGTGCAATAGCAGAGTGTTTAAAGTCCTCGCCTTGCACACCTGGGATCCCATATGGGCGCCGGTTCTAATCCTGGTGGCCATGCTTCCCATCCAGCTCCCTGCTTGTGGCCTGGGAAAGCAGTCGAGGACAGTCCAAATCCTTGGGACCCTGCATGCGCGTAGGAGACCTGGAAGAGCTTCCGGCTCCTGGCTTCGGATTGGCTGAGTTCCAGCCATTGTGGCCACTTGGGGAGGGAACCAGCAAATAAAAGATCTTTCTCCCAGTCAACTTCTTTCTGTGAATCCGACTTTCTCATTAAAAAAATCTTAAAGGTTATGGTTTTATATATATAATTTTAATTTAAAATTTATATTTTAAAATTTAAATATATATGTATTTTTAAAGGTAGTATTTTTGGCAAATAAACATTTAATTTTAAAAGATTATATTTTCAATTTAGTTTAGAGTCAGGCTTATTGCATTGGAATTATTTTAGAGAAAACTAAGAAATAGGAGAAGGAGCTATAGTAGTAAGAAATGAGAGGAACCATGGTTAAAAAACGTATCTTTGTGTAATATGCCATTTCGGGAATTACTTTCTAGCAAAGCTGTAGCTATTGTTACCAGTGGTGAGATAACAATTAAGGCAAGGATTAGACAAAAATAAAGGAGGAATCTAAGGATGAAAGATGCCAGTCATAAAATAAGATTACCAAAACTGTATTACTTGATGATTACTTGGGGTGAAAAAGTGATCTTTCAATGCACCGTGAAATGAAAAACAAGCCTTGTACTCATTGTGTCTAGCGCCTTTAGAAGTTTCCATAGAAACAACATCTTGCTCATCTGACACTCTGCTCAAACAGCAGTCAGCAAACAGTCAATGATATTCATTTTAACAGAGATTCGCTGGAAACAAAAGGGAGCTGCAGCAGAAAGCAGTCCTCAATATGATTTAGTATGGGAGGGGTCACATACAAGGGATCTTCACAAAGTTCACGGGAAATGTGTATTATCAGAAAATGAAGCATAGATTTAGAAATATTTATGTATCAAAATAAACTTTTTAAGGGATCACTGCAAAGGCACAATGGCTAAATGTTTATATTTTGCATGTGCTGGGATTCCATATGGGCGCCGCTTCATATCCCGGTTGCCCAACTTCCCATCCAGCTCCCTGCTTGTGGCCTGGGAAAGCAGTTGAGGACGGCCCAAAGGTGTGGGACCCTGCACCCGTGTGGGAGGGTCTTGGCTTCTGATGGTCTCAGCTCTGGCCATTGCTGCCATTTAGGGAGTCAACCAGGGGATGGAAGATCTTTCTCTGTTTCTTTTTCTCTGTAAATCTGACTTTCCAATAAAAATAAATCATTTTTAAAAATTAAAAAATAAATTTTTAAAAACATTCATTTTTATTAGTTTTTCAAATACTTGAAAGGCAAATCAACTGACAGGAAGAGACGGAAATCAGTCTTCATCTGCTGGATCACACTCCCACTGGATCACTCTCCCACAATAGCAATGGCCAGGGCTGGGCCAGATTCAAGTCAAGATCCCGGAGCTCCAGCCGGGTCTCCCACATGGGTGTTTGGGGCAAGGATGTGAACCATCAGTCACTGCCTGTTGGGATGCATTGGCAGGAAGCTGGATCAGAAGCAGAGCAGCAGACTTAAATCAGCACTCAGATAAGGGATGTAAACTATGCCTTTACTGTGTGGGTTAACCTGAGTGCCACAATGTTCACCTTAATTCAAAAGTAGAACATAAGAGACAAAGAAAAAAAGAAACCCTCCATGACCTCCAACAGGCTGCAATAGCCAAGTCAGGACCAGGAGCCAGGGGCTCCATCCTGGTCTGCCATACGACAACAGGAAGCTGGACTGGAAGCAGAGAAGCAGGGACTTAAATCAGTACTCCAGTACTGGACTGGGTATCTAACTAACTTAACTAACTACAACATAATGCTGGCCCTCCATAAACTTCTTTTCATTTTCATAAACCTTTTTAAAAGACTTTTATTTTTATTAATTTAAAGAGAAAAGAAAGACAGATCTTCCATCTGCTGGGTCACTTCCTGAAGGCTGCAATTGCCAGGTCTGGGACAGGCTGAAGCCAGGAGCCGGGAGCTTCATTCTAGCTCTAAGTGTGTGCAGGAGCTCAAGCACTGAGCCACCCTCCGCTGCCTCCCCCGGTGCAGGGAGCTGGGTCAGACAAGGAGTTAGCTGGGACTGGAATCAGCCCACATGGGATTCCAACACTGCAGGCAGCAGCCTAACCATTTGTCACAAAGCTGGCACTACCAAAAATTTTAAAAGTATCCTCTATATGAAATGAAAAGATACATACTATTTCTTTCCTTTTCAAAGAATATTTGTCGTGAATATTTTCAGACCATAATGTTGGGATCGGCATTATGGTGCAGTGGGTTAAACTGCCACTCGAAATGACAGTGTTCTGTAAGGGTGCCGGTTTGTGCTCTGGCTGTTCTGAATCGATCCAGTTCCCTCCCAGTGTGCTGGGAAGCAGAAGACAGCCCGAGTGCCTGAGGCCCCGCCACCTGTGTGGGAGATCCATATGCAATTACAGGATCCTGCAGCCTGGTTTGGCCCCTGATTGTTATGGGCATTTGGGGAGTGAATCAGTGGATGGAAGATCTCTCTGTATGTCTCCTCTCTCTCTGCATCTCCAAATAAACAAATAAATAAAATCTCACACAACAGCAAGCAGAGCAAGGGAACACAGAATCCTCAAAATCGGCTCTTTCCAGAGGCCAACTCCTGTGTGTAGTAGAACTCAGTATTCCTTTTTAAATAAAAAGTTATTTACTTTTATTGGAAAGGCAGATTTACAGAGAGGAGAGACAGAAACATCTTCCATCCATTGGTTCACTTCCTGAATAGCTACAATAGCCAGCGCTGAGCTGATCTGAGGCTAGTTACCTCTCTGGGTCTCCCGTGTGGACCCTGTGGGTACAGGGTCCCGAGGACTTGGGCCATCCTTGGCTGCTTTCCCAGACCATAACCAGGGAAGTGGAGCAGCCAGGACATGCACTGGCTCCCCTGTGGGATGCCGGAGCTTGCAGGTGCAAAATTGGCCCACAGAGCTATCATACTGGCTCCTAGTATTCCTAACCTTTTAAATGTCCACCTCATTTAAAAAGCCACACATTGGTACAAATGCTGAAAACTGTTCCCAGATTAGGGAGCCAAAACGTCAGTGCAGATCGCTCTGACACCGTCCTCCCTTGCCCCCGATATCCCCCATAACCGCCTTTGGAGGAATGGAGATCTTTGTTAATTGTATACAAGTAGATCTTCTTCCCATGCCAGTTACTTGTTGCATTATAACTTACATACCACATAATTACCTGCTTTAGGTATACAATTCCATGATTTTTGGTATATTCACGGTTGTGTAACTGTTATCACAGGTCAGTGTTAAGTGCTAAGAAAGTCATGAGAAATAGGGTCTTGTGATTTCAACCCTCACAGCAATTAACCCTTTGAATTTCTCCCCTATCCAAGTGATCAGCTTTAAAGTGGAGAGTAACTTTTTGTAAATGGCAATTTATGGAAAATAAAATGGCTTCTAAGATTGATAGTGGTAAAGTCCATATTTAAGAAATTGGCTGTTGGGGCAGGGCAAACAGGCTAATGCTCTGCCTGGAATCCCATATGGGCACAGGTTTGTGTCCCGGATACTCCACTTCCCATCCAGCTTCCTGCTTTTGGCCTGGGAAGATAGCAGAGGCCTTTGGGCGCCTGCCCCCACTGTGGGAGGCCCAGAAGTTCCTGGCTTCAGACTGGCTCAGTTCCAGTCACTGTGGCCATTTGGGCAGCAAATCAGTGAACAGAAAACCTTCTGTGTCTCCTTGTCTCTCTGTAAAAATCTACCTTTTAAATAAAATAAATCTTAAAAAAGAAATTAGCCATTTGTGGAGGCTGTTGGATAGAGGACGTGTCAGATATTAAACTGATAAGGACAGATACTACACTTGATCTTAACCAAAAGGCCGAGAGGCGATGTGTGGTGGCTGTTGGTAAACTGCCTGTGCATGAGTTTGGAACAACTCCCTGCTCCCGCCTCACCCGCCACCTCCACCCGGATCAACTCTAAAGATGAAGATGTAATCTAAGGAGCCCAAACTGGAAGTGGCTTTTATCCCAGCAGCAAAGATTCATCCCAAGTGGGGCTTTAATCTTGTACATAACTTTATCTTAGTCCTTCCCACTTTATTTTTTCCTTTTCCTTGGTTTCTTCATCCAGTTTTTCTTTTTAAAAAGAAATACCATTGTTTTTTCAAGGATGGCCCAAAGGCTTTAAGCAGGGAACTGAATTAGAACAGTCCACATAAGAACTTGTACTCATATGGGACGCTGGTTTTGCTGATGGAAAATAATCTACTATACCACAGCACTGGCTCCTCATCATCTAATTTTAATGATGTTTATGGTATCTCCATAGCTGTCTCATGTATTTAAGGAAATGGATTATTGTAACTAAATATGTAACATGAACACAATCATATTCAAACTCAGGGTGTAAATCTCTATCTTATTTATGACTATAGTTTCACTTTATTTGAATTACTGACATTTAAAAATCCCAAGATTTCACTAACAATTCCAGGATTCGGGGGTGGGTATGTTAGGCACAAAGATTAAGTGGCCACTTGGGACACGTGCACTCCCTGTTACAGTACCTGGCTGGAAGCCTGGCTGCTCTGCTTTCCACCCAGCCACCTGCTAACGTGGCCGCTGAGGGACGATGTGGGACAGCCCAAACACTTTGGTCCTTGGGTTGAGTTCCAGACTCCTGGATTTGGCCTGTCCCTCTTCTGTATTTTGCGGCCATTTGAGGAATGAACCAATAGATGGAAGATCTTTCTGCTTTTTAAGTAAAATGAAAATACCATTATTTTTTCAAGGATAGTCCAAAGCTTTGGGACCCTGCACTCATGTGGGAGAACCCGAGAAGGCTCCTGGCTCTTGGCTTTGGATTGGCACAGCTCCAGCCGTTGCGGCCATTTGGGGAGTAAATCAGCAGACAGAAGATCTTCCTCTCTGTGTTTCTGCCTTTCCAATAAAATGAAATAAATCTTTAAAAAAAAAACTTTAAAATTCAGGTTTCAGATGTCTTTGAGATCAGACGAGATCGGGCGCGCTCAGGGTGGTATGGCCGTAGATCAGATGTCTTTGGAAAAGAGCAGAAACTTTTTATTTCCTCCAGGGCCAGTATGCAAGGTTGTAGTCTCCAGGGCTCAGGGTTCTCCTAGCACAGCAGTGAATTGGGTAGCCAACCCTTGCACATTCTTCTTAAGATCTTATTTATTCAAAAGTTAGAGTTGCTTATACAAAAAGGGAGAGGCAGAGTGAGGGAGAGATCTTCCATCAGCTAGGTCACTGGGCTAGGAGCTTCCTCCAGGCCTCCTGTCTGAGTGCAGAGGCCCAGGGACTGGGACCATCCTCCACTGCTTTCCTAGACACATTAAGCCTCTTTGAGATGCCTGCATGACAGGGAATGGCACAATGCCAAGTAGAAAACCTTTTAGGGGAAACTTTCTAAAACTTTTTAAGAAAGATTTATTTTTGTTGGAAAGTCAGATATACAGAGAGGAGGAGAGACAGAGAAGAAGATCTTTCATCCACTGATTCACTCCCCAAGCGGCAGCAACTGCTGGAGCCGAGCTGATCTGAAGCCAGCAGCCAGGAGCTTCTTTCAGGTCTCCCACGTGGGTGCAGAGTCCCAAGGCTTTCGGTCGTCCTCGCTTTCCCAGGCCATAAGCAGGGAGCTGGATGGGGAGTGGAGCCGCTGGGATTAGAACCGGCGGGCATATGGGATCCTGGTTTGTGCAAGGTGAGGACTTCAGTCACTAGTCCATCACACCAGACCCAAACTTTCTAAAAACTTTTAACGTCAAGACTGCACGCGGGCACATCCCTTTCCTTGCGTGATTTTTGGAGAGCCATGCGGCCCAACTGATTCTGCACTCACTGAACCTCAGCTTCAATTCTGTTCCAGCAAGTTGGCCACTGCCAAGAGAGCTCCAGGTCCTGAATATGACGCACAATCAATTCCCCACCCGGCTGATCAAGTACCACCAGTGATGAGAGCACGGCCTGCTAGGAAACCGGGAGGGAAAACACAAGTGCCGAACCGGACGTGGAGCAGTGTTTAATGCTGAATGTTTATCCACGAACCTGAGCCGGGCCGGTCTCCACGGCAGCGCCGTTTCGCGGCTCCTGTAGGCTCGTGAGCCTCGGCGGCGCGCCCGGCTCCCCGAGGACGCGCGGGTTTCCAGGGCAACCGCAGGCCCCGCCCCCGGCAGCCTTTCCCGCCAAAGGCCGTTAGCGCCGCGGAGCATGCCGGGACGGGTCCCGGGCTGGCTTTCACGGGGCCGAGACGCTGCTAAAGGAGGCGCGTTCTGGGAGGAAGCCGCTGTCGTGGAAGGCCGCACAGGCACGAGGAGCGCCTTCGCAGGGAGGTTCCGTCCTTGCACTTTTAGCCCACGGAGCCGCGAGCGGCCACACGCCCCACCACCGCGCGGAGAGGAAGCGCCCAGGACTTTTTTCTTCCCAGTTGGTGCGGAGGGTGACGTCGCGCGTGCGTGAGCGCGCCTCTCGCGGCTCCGTTACGCTGCCGCGCGTGCGCAGTGGCGCCGCGGGGCCGCTTCCTCCCGCTCGGCTCGCGCCCTCCCCCCCATATCCGTGCGCCGAGCTGATAAAGGCGCCATTTTGGAGGGGCCGCGGGAGACGTGGTGCCGCTGCGGGCTCGCTCTGCCTCTCGCTAGGCTTGGTGGGAAGGCCTCCTGCTCGAGTCCGCGCTCGTCGTCGCCGCCGCCATCATGTCGGGAGGTGGTGTGATCCGTGGGCCGGCGGGGAACAACGACTGCCGTATCTACGTGGGAAACTTACCCCCAGACATCCGAACCAAGGACATCGAGGACGTGTTTTACAAATACGGCGCTATCCGCGACATCGACCTCAAGAATCGCCGCGGGGGACCGCCCTTCGCCTTCGTTGAGTTCGAGGACCCGCGGTGAGGCGGCACGGGGCTCGCGCGGCCTTGGAGGAGCAGGTTCCACGGTCTGCGCGGAGGACGGGGCGGGCGGGCCGGCGGCGGGGGTCGCGGGGCCGGCGGCGGGGGTCGCGGGGCCGGCGGCGGGGGTCGCGGCCCTAGGCCCCGGCCTGGGCCCGGCGGGTGGGGGGCAGGGCTCGGCCGGCCGCGCATGTGCCGCGCTCACCCTCCCGGCCTCCTGTGGTCCTGCAGGGACGCGGAAGACGCGGTGTACGGGCGCGACGGCTACGATTACGATGGATACCGTCTGCGGGTGGAGTTTCCACGGAGCGGCCGCGGCACGGGCCGAGGCGGCGGTGGGGGTGGAGGGGGCGGAGCGCCCCGAGGCCGCTACGGCCCCCCATCCCGGCGGTCGGAAAACCGAGTGGTTGTCTCTGGTGAGTTGACGAGCGTGTGTGGGTCGAGGAAGGGGTGGAGACCCAGCCCGTGTCCCGGGCTCTTGAAAAGCGCCCTTTTAGTTTGTTGGTTTCTTTAGTCGTGTATGGTGGCATTAGAATAGCAGTGTCTCCTCTACAGATGATTTTGGAGTCTGGATTCCAGCGCCTTACCAGCTCTCTGTGTGGAGTCTTAACATGTAATCGTTACGTGAATGTTTAGTTTGTGTTCTTCTAATGTGCACGCGAAGTTTTGATGTGAACTACACAACGAGTAGTACTGAGGGAAGAAAATCACTTTTCCAGGACTGCCTCCAAGTGGAAGCTGGCAGGATTTAAAGGATCACATGCGTGAAGCAGGTGATGTATGTTATGCTGATGTTTACCGAGATGGCACTGGTGTCGTGGAATTTGTACGGAAAGAAGATATGACCTATGCAGTTCGAAAACTGGATAACACTAAGTTTAGATCTCATGAGGTAGGTCATACACTTATTCTTTTCTTTGGCCAGAATTGGATACAGTGTCTTAACAATGGAACTTGAAGGTAAGGATTCAGGCAAGGGTGTCCAAGTAAATTGCCGGATTTCTGGTTTTAGTTACGTTGTGTTCATTCAGCATGCCTGCAACAGGTGAAAGCTTAGATCTTTCAATGGAAAGTTCTGTCTATCCAATAGGGAGAAACTGCCTACATCCGGGTTAAAGTTGATGGGCCCAGAAGTCCAAGTTATGGAAGATCTCGCTCTCGAAGCCGTAGTCGTAGCAGAAGCCGTAGCAGAAGCAACAGCAGGAGTCGCAGTTACTCCCCAAGGAGAAGCAGAGGATCACCACGCTATTCTCCCCGTCATAGCAGATCTCGCTCTCGTACATAAGATGATTGGTTTGGTGACACTTTTTGTAGAACCCATGTTGTATACAGTTTTCCTTTACTCAGTACAATCTTTTAATTTTTTTTTTATTCAAACTGTTTTTGTTCAGAGTGGGCTGGTGTTGAATCGCATTCTTGTGTAATAACCCCCCTTGCTCCTAACATCTACATTCCCCTCATGTCTTTGATAAACTGTATTTTAAGTGATGTCATAGACAGGATTGTTTAAATTTAGCTAATTCTCCATGCTCTTCAGACTGTGATATTGTGTACATGTCTATTCTGCTATGGTTTGTGTGACCTGGGATGTGGGGGGTGTTTGTGATTATCTTACCTGGGGAAGTTCTTATGTTTATCTTGCTTTTCATGTGTCTTTCTGTAGACATATCTGAAGAGATGGATTAAGGATGCTTTGGATTAAGGATTGTGGAGCACATTTCAATCATTTTAGGATTGTCAAATGGAGGATTGAGGAGGATCAGATCAATAATGGAGGCAATGGTATGACTCCAAGTGCTATTGTCACAGATGAAATTGGCAGTATTGACCTTATACTAAAATACAAGGGTGAAAAATGAGTAGATTTATTTTAAAATACTTGCAAACTGCTTCTTGGTGCAGTTGTCCTTAGCTGCAATTGCAGTGCTCTTTGCCTTGGCAATTGTGGCTCATTGTATTGCCCATTTGGTAACAATTTATTTTGCTCCCCTCCCCACTCCCTATTTTTTGGTTTGTTTTAATAGGGGACTAATGTGGAAAGAATTGGTTAATGTGTCACAGTGCTTAGTTACAACCGTTATATGTGACCTACTGTTGGTGTACATGTGGGTACAGGGTGTCTTTAATTCCGATGAGATAGAGTATAATATCAATACTGCTAAATCTGCATGTCCTCTGTGTGACTGATAGAGCGTTGCTATATCATTTTTTTAAAGACAAAATGAAAGCAGAATATTGAATTCCAGCATATTGGTGTAGATAATTTAGTTGGGAGTATTATAAGTCTCACCTTCCCCTTTAAAATAATATTCGTAATTGACTCATGTTTGAAACACTTTAATTTACAAGTTAAATTGCAGATGGGAGCATTAGATTTAGTTTAGACTTAGGTGGGTAGCAATACCAGTTAACTTTACAATTGCATAACTTTGCATTCACAAAATCTGTAATGCGCTGTTAAGTAACAAATGTTGGCATTATCAGTTGAAATGTAAATATAAGATGCTTCTTCAATTAGTCTATGATGGTTAAGTTTCTAAAGTTTATCTAAACGCCATTCAGAAACTTGTTTTGGGGAATTTGATAGTTATTGATGTACATCTGTTAAACTGATGACAGACATAACTCATCATTCCCCAGAAACCCTTTTTGATGACAGTATCTAACATTTTGCCTCCTCTTTTTTGGTTTTGCTGGTTATAAAGGTTTGGATTGGAGAGGGCTCACTGGATCCCAATCCTTGGAGCTGGATCATTGGATTCCAATCATAATGTGGATAGGATAGGGAGGATGAATTACAAGGATTCATGGAGCGGGATCAGATTTCCAGGAACATAGGAGTGGATTCCTGCCCCAACCAAACCGTATTCGTGTGGATTTTTTTATTCAACTTAATTGGCTATTCCAAAGAAATTTTTTTCCTATTTTTGACGATTGGAGCCCTTAAGATGCACGATGGAATTGTGTTTTGCATTTTTTGGTAAAAGGAGCAAAGCGAGGACCTGGAGATAATACGCTGGAGCAATCTCCTTGGAAGGATTCAGCACGAGTAGATGGTAAACGTTAAAGGGGTAAAGGGGGGTTTGTTTAAAATAGTAATCAGTAAGTCACTTCTACTAAATTTAAATAAAACAAAATTGGAGTTGAAAAATAAGTAGGTTTCAATTGGCTATTGCCGTTTTTCTTTGAAAAAATAAACATTTTTTAAAAAACTATGCATGGTTGTCCTTTTTCCTCTTCATGTAAGAACTTAACTGGGTTGACTAGTCTATCAATACTTTGAATTGATAAGACTCTTGATTCTTGTGTTTGTATTAGTAAATTAAAATTTCTTGAAAGGCAATCTAATAAATGGTTTTAACTGTCTCTTATTGTTGATTGTAAAAATCTTAAGATGAATGATAAGGCAGTTATTTATATGTAACAAGCAAATTGGTAGTCTCCGAAGAATGAATTCAATTCTTTGCTTAAGAGTGACTAAGAACTTGATGGACTTTAGTGCAAAATTGATTGATGGCTAGTAAATTAATGTTAGCCTTTGATAATACCAGTGAGACAATAATTGCTAGCAAAACAAAGGTATTTCTTTTTTGAAATGTGAACGCGGCACAGAAAAGTTAACTGTGTGAGCAGCTGATGGTTTATGCTTTGTAAAAATGAATCCACTCTTAGTCTTCTGTGCCCAGAGTTTTGGTGCTCTACCAAAGCTGTAATGACTAGTTTGTAGTTATGGCCCTTAGATGCTTGATTTTCAAGTTAAAACCTGATAGGCTTTCTCTTCTGAATCTTCACAGCTAATTAACAGTCTTCAAAATAGTTTTTATGCTCAACAAAATTAACTAGATTTTTAGCATTTTCTTTGGGTGCTGATCCTTGTGGGAAGCTGAACTTAAGGTTTTCTCTAGGTTTAAATTACCTTCAGCAATTTAGGTAGTGAAAGTGAACTCCAGTAGTGATGCCCATGAAGTTACTCGGTGAGTCTAGCTTAGTAGAGCTTATGCAGGGTCAGGAGTGAAGGAACGTTAAGAACTAGGATTGAAGTGCATACTGCAGTGCACTAGTTGTTCTTGGGTAAGAATTAGAACACAGTGGCCGAGAAGCAGAATTTCCTGTGGCATGCTTAATTTCTAGTATTGCCTCACATGTAAATTAGAGTACTCGGGCTCCTGCTAATGATTTTGAAAAGTCAACACTAGATTTAAATAAAAATTGAATTCATTTATGTTGAATATTTTGAGAATAAGACCAAAATGGTCTTCCTTCAGGATTGAGTTTTAAGCTAAATTCTAATCCCATATTGAAATAGTTACTCTTGATTGGCTGTAACCTTGGTTTACACTGAAGCCAGGACTTGGGCATACTTTAACTTTAGTTAATGTGATTAGGTGGCTAAAAACAGATAGGATAGTCTAGACTGCCCTTTTTCCTGCTGTTCTGAGTCCTGTCCTTTTGGGACTACATAAGCCGTATTGGCTTTTCTGCATTTTACTTTTATGTCCCGCTAAAATATTTTAGGGAAACTAATTTATTTTCTGACCAGGGAAAAGTTAAGTCTTTTAAGCAGCAATTACTTTTCATAACATCAGATTGAATAACTCACCTTGCTGTTCAGCCCACATTCTACTGGAGATAAAAAGGTAAGACCGATTTTCTGACTAATTGTTTGAGATCTGAATTTTATTTTAGAGATAGTGATTTTTTTAAGGATGTTGTTTGGAAATGTTCAATAGATTTTCACTGAAAATGCTTTTTTTCTCCAAAGTTTAACACAATTTTGAGTGCTCTTTAGCTACTTATTCATAGTGTTTGAATTTAATGTGACTTACTCTAGAATTCCAATTTTTGAAAAATTTGTTGTCTTTGAAACATGTTTTGGTCTTTAGGACGTGTTTATTTTCAGGTTCTGTGGTCAAGATAAATTTCTTATGTGTGCCTTTTTGCTTCCTTTGTATATGAAGTTTGTAATGAAATTACAAATAAGTTGTATGTATGTATTTACCATGAATAGTATTAAAGCAAGAAAAACTTAACTGAAGTTCTGTTGTAACATATATCGCTCTTTGGGTCTTAACCTGGCTTACATCACAGCATGAGAAGTGTGAAGGCAAAAAACATTCACAATCTCTTATTCATTGTTCTGAAGTCAGAAAACTCTTAGAACAAGTTTCTTATAAAGTAAATGTAAAGACCATTTAGAATTGATTGGTTTGTCCTGTAACTTGACACAGGCTGCTAAAGACATGGTATAATGCACTCGGCCCTTAGCAGGTTATTGCGAGTCCCAGATACAACTGTAGGAAAATACCCAGGTCTCATACTTCTGTGAATGAAGACAAGCCTGTTAACTTTGGTTCCTTTCTTGAGATGGAGTTTACCCATCCTTTCAAAGTGGGACCACTCTACAAGGAGACTTATAGCCCACGTTTCTTTTATATTTGTTAGCATAGTGGTCTCTTGTTCCAGTCGACCTTGTAGGTATACAGACAGCATGATACTCTTGAGTTGTCAGTGTAAAGGAACAGGTACCAAGCTGATTTTCAAGGAAAAACATCCTGTCTTAAGATTGTCCATTGAATTAAAGTAGACTCAACAAGTTCAAGTATACTACTAAACGCAGCACTAATTTCAGTGACTGAGAATTTCAGATTGCTTCTTGTAAAGCTATACCTGACCCTCCCTCCCCCACCCCCGAGAACTGTTTTTATTTGAAAAGGGACCTCCAGGAAGGAGCACAGTGACCACTAGATGAAAGCCAGGAGTCCAGACCTTCATCTGTCCCCTGGGTGTGTGATGGGCCGGGCTACCGAAACCACTTTCTTCCACAGGCACACTAGCAGGGAGCCATATATGGAAAGTGGAATAGGGTGCTCTGACTTGGGTGGTTTTAGTGTTGCAGCAGTTGAAGGGGCCATTTGATGCTTCAGTAGTTCAAAGAGCAAATCTCTGAGAACCTTAAAAATTCACATGAAAAATTAAAAGATTCCCACAGAGGCAATAGAGGTCTTCATTCACTTATCTGTCAAACTTCCCTAATGGCCAAAGCTGAGCTGATATGAAGCTAGGAGCCAAGGGTGCAAACTGGCACTCATTGGGATGCTGGCAATAGCATACGGCGGGTTAGCCTGCTATGTCAACATTTTGGCTCCTCAAAATTATGAGTTTATATATGTGCCAGGTCTGCTAAAAGGTTGCCGTTGCTCACCACTTAGGTGAGCAGAATGTATGAAAAGGTACATTGTCTTCATCTCAGAAGTACAAAGGAGGTAGTAACTACTTTTGCCATTCAACTTAGAGTAACGGAACTTTATCTAAAAAGATCCTGGGAATTAAGACCCTCTAACGATGCCAGGTTTATCCCCACCAGAAGTACCTCAAAAACAATTTGTAGGGATGCAAAAGTCCATCTTCACATTGCTCATGGGGGTGAGGGGAGGAGCATCATTTAGCCACTATGGGGAGCTGTGGCATTGAGGTTGAGACCCAAATACCCTTAAAGGTAGATGGCTTGGGTGAGTGTCCTTGTCATCTGCCCAGGAGTATCCTATCCATGTTGGGCAACTGGGTCTCTCAACCTTGAATAGACCTTAATTTGCAGGTCCTGACGATATCTTAAGATTATATCTGGGTTTGAAAGGGCTGAAGGCATGAATTTGCTTGTTTTTCTGAGTGTCTTATACAAGTGTTAAGAGTAGGAAGGCCAGGAGTAGGTGTGATGCAAGCAAGAAGCGGCCTTAAATCAGGAAGTATGCTTTCAAGTCTCTGTAGTGTTTGTGGTGTGAGAATTACAGGGGTAATAAGTTTCTGAGCATTAAGGTTTTTAATTGTCTTAAAACCATATTCAGTTTAGTCCTTGTTGGGCCTTATATAGATACAGGACATTTAGTTCCTTTGTTATGTATACTTAAGTATTTGAAAGAATTGTGGGGAGAGACAAAGTCTTCCATCTGCTGGTTCACTCCCCAGGTAGGCCCCAACAATTGAAACTGGGCCGCCTTCAGTTGCTTCGTGAGGCATATTAGCTGAGAGTTGGGTTTGAGCTGGGGCAACTGGGACTCTAACCAGCATCCACATAGAATGCTGGTGCTCAAAGTGGTGGCTTAATTCGCTACAATACAACATAGGCCTCTGCTTAACACCCTTGTATCTTGGGAGCTGGAGAGTGCCAGAAGCCTTACAGTTTAGTATTTATTGCTCATATCCTGTCTCCCAAAGCTTACATTACAGAAGAGGACAATACAAACTTGTGTAGTGTTTAAATTATGAACTAAGGATGCCATCTTAGAATTTTGAGATCTGCTTGTTAGAATTTAGTCATGGAAGGTGAGTGTGAGAACACTGAACTTAAAAACATTAGAAACTTACTAGTTTTGAAGCCTGACACAAAATGGGCAAATAGATACTTGCAGTAGAAAATAAGTACACCCAATTTAACCTGCCTGTTAAACTGACAGTACAGCAAGAGGCTACCAAAGGGAGTTGTAAACATGCTTGAAGGGATAGCAAAAACTTGTTTCTGTTAGGGAGCCTTACAGATGAATTTGCAGCAAACCATCAGATAGTAGTAGTTGCTAAGGTTTAATTCATAGAAGTGAGCTGCAGCATCAGCCCAATGAAAGGGGAACCCACAACCAGTAAAACAGCGGGGAAGACCTGGGCTGAGTGTTGGGTTATTAACAGTAGCACACCTAGAGACTTGAGTTACAAAATAATACACCAGGAGTAACATTGTTAAGGACTAGAAATGTAAGATGTTAACAGGGTAGCATTTACACTGCAAAGAAAAGGGTTGCTTCCTCCTCACATGTGTTTCCTGCCTTCATATAGCCTCCCTTACAGTGTCCCTGCTTTAAATCTTGATCGTCAGAGGTACTGCTGAAGGCTTGGCGAATACAGTGTAGAAGTCCAAATTTCACAAAATAGTGGTTAGCTGTGGGTGGATTATTGGAGAAAACATTATTACAGATTTCTCACTGTGGGTAGATCCTTTCCCAGTTATAGTAAAGGGATTTACATATTTTTAGGATGAGTGATGAGTGGAGGTGGTGGTTTTTCTTGGGTTAGGATGTCTTAATGATACCTCAAGATGCATACTCTGGTGTTCAGCCAACAAAATTTTCTGAGCATACATCAAAAGTAATTCAGAAAGTTTGTGGGGAATGCATTGTTGGCACCATTTTCCCGTGAGCCTTTGAAATGTCCGCGTGTAGTTACTTTCCCATGCTCCAGGTGGCACAGGGTACTCTGTTTCTTTGCCTCATTTGGTCAGCAGACTGAAGTATTTGTGACTTAATCGTATCATTCCTGGCATGTTTTTCTTCAGTGTTTTTAGTGTGTTACATGTGCATGCACTTAACATCCTGTTTAAGCCATTATTTGATAGGCTTTTTTTTTTTTTCCCAGCTACGTAGTAAACTCAGTAGAAGGGCTGTTGTGTGGATTTTTTAATTGCTTCCAAAATATCCTGTACTCTAGTACACACCTTAATGAATGAGTAGATTTGTTCATTAAAAAAAAAAAAAAACTAAGCAGATGTTCAGCATAACTTAGATTTAAGGAGCAGTGTAATCGATTTTGGGCTTATTGCCAGAGCAGTAACTTCAAGACTTTATGTCCTATGCTGCCCTTTTTAATGAAATTTTGAGAGTAAATGCAAGGGCATGTGACAAACCACTAATCCTAATGATAAAGTAATAGCTGACTGCTTTATAGAGTACTTTGATTCGTTTTATATTTCATGAAGTAGAACGTTTGTTCTCCCACTTTGAGGAAAGAGATTCAGAAATATTAAGGTGACTAGCCCAGAAATTGGATGTGGGTCTTAATTTTTCTACCATAGTGTTTTGAGAGTTTTTTGGTTTTTGCTTTGTTGCTTAAGACTTTTTTTCTGAAATGAGAGTGGAGTTGGGTTAGATTTTCCCTCCAGTGTTTCACTTCCTAGGTGGCTGCAATGGCTAGGGCTGGGTCAAATCAAAGCCAGAAGTGTCTTCCAAGAGTCCCCACATATCAGATTGTTGGTTTTGTTTATTTTAAGGCAGTCTACTGTATTTTCTGATTATGAAGTCCTCTGGGAATGAGTGAAGTCTTCCACCCAGTGAACACCAACTTGCAGTACCTACCTGACACCACCAGGGTGTCCCCTAGTACCGTCTAATACATGTTCTTGCCGTGAGCGCAGAGGGCTGTTCCAGAGCTGAAGATTTTGTGGTTTTAGTCACCATGGCCTGGAGCCCAGCAATGAGAAAATGAGATGTTTAGCTCCCTGACTTTCTAATGTTTAGCTGACAGCAAGCTCTGAGGGAAGTGGCCAGGGACTGGCCCACCACCCATAAAAACAAAAGAACTTATGAATGTAAATTTCTACAAACATCTACATTTGTTTTAATAGTTGAGTATGCACTTAATTTCACAAATCAAAACCAGATTGATGAGTTAAAGATTTGATATTGGGAAGGCAGGTTTCTAGAGAGAGGGAGAGACAGATCTTCCATCCACTGTTAATTCCCCAAGTGGTTGCAACAGCCAGAGTTGAGCCAATCTAAAGCCAGAAGCTTCTGGGTCTCCTACTCAGGTGCAGGGTCCTGAGGTTTTGGGCTGTCCTCTGTTGCTGTCCTAGGCCATGAACAGGGAGCTGGATGGAGGTGGAGCAGCCAGAACACAAACCAGTGCCCATATGGAATCCTGGCTCATGGCCCTAGATGAGTTCTAAAAGTTTATGTAGCTAATTCCCCCACTTTGGAGTTTGTGTTAGACTTTGTTGTAGGTATGGTCTTAGTTTTTTTTTATTAGGCAGCCTTAAATAGTTATGTGTACTCTTGAAGCTGTCACATGTTGAGAGCCCATGAAGTGCAGCCTCAGATGTAGTATTACAGGAGCAAATAACCCCTTTAAAATGTGATTACTTCCCAGTGTTTCTTAGGCAATCTGTAACAGATTTAGTATTTATAAATCTGGACTTCTCCAGGAGATCTTTAAAAGCATTCCAGATGGCTAATGGTGCCTGGTGTTTAGTGGCTCAGTAGATGTTTACTGA